CTGACACGATTAAATTTTATTTAATTTATAGGTTTCCCTCCTCTCTTTTTTTCCTTGCTATTGCTGTAAAAATTTTGTTGAAGAAACTGTTTGTAGAGTTTCCTCCTATCTGAAATCGGTGATTACCTCCCTTGGTGCTGTTTTATGTGTTTCTCTATCTCAGAGAGTTCCTGTAAATTGGGAGTTACATCTACAGACTTGATCAGATTTATATTCCTTTTTTTCTTTTTAAGTAGTCAACATTTCATAGATTTTATGTAAAAATCCTGATTCAGGCTCCCTTAGGAAGTGCTGCCACCTGGCAACAATTGGTCCAGGGTTGGGTAGCCACCATCCCCATTCCTCACCTCCCAACCCCATTTAGGTGGGACTTGAATTCTCCTGCAGGCCAAAGTTCATGCCACTTCCCATAAGCAGTTTCACACATTTATCTGCCTGGGTCCCACAGGCATGGGAAGTTGACACCCCTATTCTAAACATTGTCTCTTCAGGGGCTTTGGTAGACTTCCTACCAAACACATACATCACACACAACAAGTGGCCTTTCAAGAACATAGTAGAGATGAGAAAAAATGATTTGGAAAGAGACTTCCTTAAAGTGCTTGAAGGGAAAGTGATAAGCAGCCAAACTGAGGGAGGCCGAGTTACAGAATTTGGTGAGAACACAGGTTGAGGGAAAGAGGAAAAAAAAGTAAAACCATGAATTAAATTAACAGAGTGCTGCTAGTATGAAAGTTGGAATGTGTTAACAGATTCCTAACCAATAGTAGGAAACAAAGACAGCAAGTTGGTTTAAAAAAGATACTTTAGTCTTTTAATATATTATAATATTGAAACCTTAAAGAGAAGAGGTTAGTAAGTGTTAAATTGGCCAAGAGTCCTGGTCAGAAAATGCAAGCAGGCAGTTGTAGGATAACAAAAATCAGTGTGGAGATTAAATGGATGAGGTAGGAAAACCTTCTAGAAAAGGCCCCTGGAAAAGAATCAGGAACCATACTGTGGGAATGGTAAAGAACTGGTGGAAATTTAAGAGAGGAGATAATCTTGAAAGTCTTGGGTTTTGTTTTTTTGGTTTTTTTTTTTTTTTTTTTTTGCAAATGTATTGAAATGAGAAGTATTATAAAGATAGAGGAAACACATCATGTTTAGTGGTCTTGAAAATGATAAACTTTTGCAGAAAAGAAAATAATTATGACAACTTGGGCCCTTTCTGGAAATTTCCAGATAGTTCCCCATACTCAGAAGAATGATTAAGAGAGAGAATCTGTGACTGGTTATGAGGAAGGATGGAAAATTTTGAAGGACGGGTTGATTATGTAATTTTTAGACTGTGTTGTTTAAAACTGTTGCTGTGATATTTTAGTTATTAATAACAATTTGGGGAAATCTAGTCAGTTCTGGAGAAACATTTGGCGCTAATAAGAAAGAAATGCCACTGTTTGTGAATTCCCAAGTGGATGTAAAGACCCATTCACTTGCTAAGCCTCTTAGGAAACCCAGAGCCGGTTTTACCCTTAACAAGCTGTTGACAGAGTCTGATCAAGGTACCACCTGGAACATGTTAACAATACAAAAAAGTGGATGTGGAGTCAGACCTGTTTCAATCCCTTTATGTCACTCACCATGTGACCCTGGCAGATTACCCATGGAAAATTTCTAGGGTGTAAAGGTGGTTTTACACACAGTAGCTATGATTCTCACTGCTTGGATGGTAGGAACTCAGAACTCTGAATACTTCCAGTACTAACGGCAGCCACAACAGCCTACAGTCATAGAACACTTACATAATACCAGGTACTCTTGCAAATGCTTCACATGTATTATCTCATTTAATTCTTAAAAAGTCCTACAAGGTAGGCACTGATATTAAAATTAGTCCCATTTTATAGATGAAGAAGCCAAGGGAGTTTAGCTAACTTGCCTAAATTGGCCTTGTAAGCAACAAAGCTGGGCTTTAAACCCAGGCAGGCTGAATCCAAAGTGGAATTGCCTTGCCCTACCACCTCCCACCTTCCAGTCACAGGGAAACACAGACAGCAATACCGAATACTAGCACTTCCCAACCCTGGTTCCTAATCCATGTGCCTCAGTTTTCTTGGAGATCTTTGAATAATTTTCAGAGTTTCCAAAAGCTTCAGTGGAAACATATAAACATGCAATTATTAATAGACCACAAGTTTTTTAGGTTAGAATCCACTATTAACAGCAGCTTAGTTCAGGTTTTGAGGAAGCTCTGATTGGCAATTGCATATACAAAAACATTGCAGGTTTTTGTTTTTGTTTAAGTGGGAAGATGAATCATTACTTAATAAATGCAATTTAGTGGAGTAGATCTTGCTGAACATGTGGCATATGGAGGAAGAATAAAGGGTGCTTGGCTTTGAGGAGGTTGGGAAATGCTAATATACATGTGTATGCATGTTGCCTAAACTGTCGGCCTTCAAAACTCTTCCTCTTATTTTTAAATAACACGATTCTTTAATCTGACTTGGAGTCAATATATTTTTCCCTCATTATTTAAAATGTTTTGTTGGCTTTATATTTAATATTGGAGTCTATTCATCAAGTGATCACATTCTTAAAACATGGTCAGGAACTGGGATGCAGAATTGCAAGTACTATAGATTCCTAGCTAAAAACGTAAGTTATGCAAAGAATTGACTTTTTAATCTTTTTAAGCTGTGCCCTTGAATTTTTTTAAAAGAAACTTTAAGACTCTACTATCAAAACAAGGGAACATGGACGATTTTTTAAAAACAAACACCTGTCCATTATTCGTGCATTAGCTCCACATGGCCAGCCTGTGGCAGGCCCTCTCTGAATACTTTTTCAATGAGCAGTCCCTGGATCTTGGAAGAAAGATGCCAGCGGCCAGGGCCCTTCATTTAAAGAAGAGGACTGGGTCTTTTGCGTGAAATAGTTTCTATGCCACGTTGGGAAAAATCAATCTAGGCCTCTCTTGACGGCCATGGAAAAACACAGGTGACTCCTTATTCCTGAGCATTTGATGCAATTGAAACAGCACCAGACTCTGCGAATCCTGTGTGCAGAGTCTGGAACAGGAGCTCACGGACACTTCTGCGGCCCGGGGCCTTGTTCTGACAGTCACCAGGCTGTGTGGCCCAGAGTCCTAACTGCGTTGACCTTCGGCAGGTTCTGAATTGTGTCCTCCCCGAGGAGGCTGACGCCGCTGCCTACTTGGTGGGGGGCCCCGGCTGGCCCCTGGGTCAGGCATGGGGCCTTGCGGGGCCCTCGTGGGTCCCGCCGCCGCCCTCCTGAGGCCTGATCCTTGGTGCCGCGGTTCCCCCAGCCCCGGGCCCGCAGGGCTGCGTGTCGGGCCGACCTCCTCCCGGACGGGCTGCGTCCTCTGCCCCGCGCCGGGGGCGGGCCGGGCCGGCAGAGCCGAGCCGCCGGCGTCCATTTTCTGGGCGGTGCTGTGCAGCGCCGCGGCCGGACTCACGGGTCCGGAAGCACCATGGACCCCCGGGGAAACGCGCCGACGGCTGAGGAGCCGAGCCCCGTAAGTGCCCCTTGCAGGGTCTTCACGGGGCCGGGGGCGGGGCGAGGCGCGGCCTGCGGGCATGGGGCCCGGGGCGCCGCCAGCCCGATTGCACCTCGCTTCTGGAGGGAGCCGGGAAGCCGAGCTGGGGAAACCCTCGCAAGGGTTGAGCTCCGAAAACGCAGCAGAGCCGAGCTGCCCGCGGGGAGGAAGCGCCCGCAGGTGCCCGGACTCCGGGGCCCGCGCCCGGAGCGGAGCGGGGCGGGGCGGGGCGGGGTGGGTTCGGCTGGAGAGTGCGGGCAGGTTGCGCCGCATCTCGTGGCCCAACTGCGCGGCTGTGCTAGAGGGCGGGGGCCGAGGAGGAATGCGCTCCCGGGACTGGGGACGTGGTGGGCTCGAGTCCAGCGGGCTCGGGCACTGCGTTGACAGTCACACCTCCAGTCTCCTGGATTGAGAATCGGACCCTAGTCCTGACCCTACGGGAACTTGATAATTTCCTTGATGCAACACCAAGACTCTGGAATTGAACGGGACGTGCAAAGGCAGAGCCCTGCCCCCAGGGGTTTGCAGTCTCGGCCGCCTACTTCTGCAGTAGTTAGGTCTGCTCTGTTGGTACAACATACAACACAACCGCCCGCCGTTAGCCACTTTTTTGTAGGGTACATCATAAATCACCTGAGATTTTAGTCTGTCCGCGGTTCCGCTTTATAAGTCCTGCACTGCGGTAGGTAAGTGCCTAATTCCATTCTGGACGTTGGCCCTAATTGAGTATCCCTTCTAAGGATCGATTATAGGTGATATGTGTTATAGTGCCTTATACACATTTTAAAGGTTAAAGACTTCTTCTGTGAAGCTCAACTACTTGGTCAGATTCTCATGGTTAAAAAATGTGGAAGAGTTTTGTCCTGGTTTCAGAGAAGCAGCTAGTGAGGCGCTATATCTAAGTGTAGTGTTTTTCAAGAGTGGGGGACCCATTAGAAGACTCTGGGATCAGTTTAGTGGGTTGCTACTGGAAATCTTCTTAACGATATAGAATATACAGTACAATACAGAGAAACATAGAATAGAAAATAACATGCATTGCACATAGTGAAGGTAAGCATTGTCTTATGAGACTTTTGGTTTTCAGTTTATATAACATAAATTTTTTAAACAGTGGGTCACTGGCTGAAAAGTTTTTAAAACCCTGACTTACTGGTTAATGGCCCAGGCTTTGGAATCAATTGAATCTGGATTTGAGTCCTAGTTGTCACATAAACCAGCTGTGTGACCTCGAACAGGTTCTGTGGCCCATTAGAGTCGCCGTTTCTATAGCTGTGAAATGGGGGAATGTTCCCTACATCTGAAGGTTGTTATGAAGACAACACGAAACCACATATGTCAACCACTTTGTGGGTGCTTGACTTATGTGTTCAATATGTGCTGATTGCAGTTATTGTTGCTAAAACATCAAATCCTAGCAGCTAGTCATGGGACACTGCACTTTTCTTTTTCTTTTTAGATCTTGATGTGGAAGAAATGGAGGACTCAGAACCAAGGATTTCCAAGTGATTTCTTCCAAAGCACAGGAATCTAACTCTGTTAAAGCTGGTCCGTTCTAACTGAGGTAACTAAATTCGCGTCTCTCCTTAGTCTACATGAGACAGGAAATGGTCTTTCTGAGGGACTCCCAAAGGGTATATGATTCAAGACAGCAATCCATCAAGTTTTGGGGTTACAAAGTGACCATGACACTCAAGTGATGTGTTACTGGGAGACCGGATGTGTAAAGCCCCCGTGATGAAGGGGAACTAGGAGATCAAGGCCTTAGGACAGCTGGTTTCTCATTCCAGTTCTGTCAGCAATTGTTCTGGAGTCTTCTACATGTCTCTTCACAGATCTCTAGTTTCCCAAGGCTGGAAGGATGCACTGACATTGCTGAGGCCCAGAGAGTTTAGATGACGCTTCAGGGTTACCCAGTGAGTTGGGGTCAAGGCAGGACTGGACCTTGGATCTTCGTTGCTCAGTCACGTAGCCAGCTTCAGGGCCCTCTGTGAGGTGAGCGCTCTGCTAGGCACAGAGTATACAAATGTGAAGAGACCATCCCCAGGACACTTGCAGCTGTCACAGCCAAGTATTGACGGCCCAACACGCTAAGCTCTACCTTGGAGCCATATACAAAGTCCCAGATGGTGACAATAACAACTACCATTTATCAAGCATTTGTATGTGTGTGTATGCTAGGCAGTGTGTGAAGGGCTTTAAGCACAGTATTTTTTATTTACCCCTCACGATAGCCCTATGAGGTGAGGAAGAATAGGCGTAAAGGATTGAAATGTGAAAATAGAGACAGGTCATGGAGGGCTTTGCATCTCATACTACATGTATGAAGTCCCTTCTGTGGGCACAGCGCTGTGCCAGCACTGCAAAGTGACCATCCTGGAGGAGCTTGCAGCCTGATTCCAGAGAGGCATGGTAGGATGGATGGTGCTTGCCATTCACCCCCACCTCCTTCCCTGCTTCTCCAGCAGTTGCAGAGTGGGGTCCATCACAGGGACAGACCAGAGTCATAGACATACCAAAATTTCTACCTCTAAATTCAATTTTTCTTTTTTCTCCACTTAAATCTATACTTCCGCCCATCTATTAAAACTTATGCCCTCAATTTATAAATGATAGTAAGGCCTTCTCTGAATTCATTGATTTATTTTTCATCAACAAATGTTTACTGAGCTTCTACAAGGCACTTGGGTACTCAAGACCAGACAGATTTGTTTTTACAATCATATTAGTCATTTCCAGTCTCTTAGCAAAGAATTTGTTGTTCAACTGTTAGCAATTTTCTATTGTTAATATGCTGGAATGTCAGCTCATGGATGTTGGAGATTGACCCATACGTAGAATTCCAAATGGATATATAGGAAAGCCATTTAAAAAGTCTTAATATCTTTAGAAAGGAATTTCACACTTCTCTTTAAAATTTTGATTTTGTCATTCTTGTTACCTGCTTATAGAGGCCTTTTTATTTGTACATTTAACTCAGAATCCAAGAAAAAGCAGTTTGGCAAGGGGGTTTTGTTTGATTTGAAACGTTCTCTTCTCTTAGCTTTGTAGGCCACAGAAGACTGTGGGTATTCAAAAGTAAAGTAATTTAAGAAATATGTTTGTTTAATTTATAAGGTAGAAAATTAGAGATAGCTCTAAGAATTGCAATAAGCCACAGAAATCAAATTGCAAGACTTGAATGCTACCTGTAATAACTTAATCCCCAAATAAAACAAATGAGATGTTGAATGTGAACATGCTTTGTAAACTTTAAGGTGTTCTATGAATGCTGTACAGCAATCCACTACAAGTATGACTGTGCTAGAGAGAATGGAGAATTCAGCTGCCACAAAAATCTGGTCTCTTCGCTCTCATACTCTGTTGAGGAAAGAAGATATGCAGAAATAACCATCTGATAAATGCAAAAAGAAGATATTTTGGTAATTTGAGGAGGAAGGGGTCCCTTTTATCCCTAGCAGTCAAGAGGCTCTTGAGAAAAAACATCTAAGCAAGTCCTTGAATGATGTGGCATTTCAATAAAAGAACAGGGAAGAGGCATTTGAGATAGGAGGACTAGTAGGAGATGGAGAAACGTGGAGCATATTCAGGGAAAAGGGTCAAGTCCAATTGAGTTAGAACTGGTCTATATACAGGCATCAAAACTGTAGAACATTCGGTGCCAAATGATACAGTCTAGAATGCCAATTAGGAAATGTGAATGCATTAACCAATAGGTGTCATTAAAGATACCTGAACAGGGGAGTGTTGTGGCTGTGCTTCAGGACCAGGCTCTTGTGAGTAGCTTGGGGGAGATCAGGAGGAGAGGCAGGGCAGAAACTAGAGGCCAGAAGGCCAGTTAAGCTGCTATGACCCACCAAGGAAAAAGAGGGGCAGGAAAGGCCTGAAATGGTTGATAACAATGAAATGGGAAAGGAACAGATGCAGAGGGAAGAACTGACAAAATCTGATGTGTCAGTGGAGAAGGAACAGCTAAAGCTGACACTGCGATTTCCAGAGCAGTAGTACCCATGGAAGAAACTCAGAAGGAGGTAAGGAGCTACATTTTAGAGGTGCTGTGTTTGCAGTGTTGAAGCACGCTGTCTCCCAGGCAGAAGGGGGCTTTGCGCTCCACAGGAAGGCCAGGGCTCCTTTGGGAGTCTTTGGTTTATAACAAAAAGTCAAGAGACAGGAAAAGAGATTGTTGAGAGAGAATATCAAGAGACGGGAAAAGAGATTTTTGAGAGAGAATATAGGGGGAAAATGGTTGAGGATGGAGCCTTTTGCGAAAAGAATGGAAGATCCAGGGAGGCAGATAGAAGTCCGGCAAGATAGTAAGGAAGAACCATGGAGGAACGCAACTCCAGAAGCCAGCGGAAGGAGGTTCCCAATGGAGGGAACCACGTACGTCAGACCCTAGAAGGTGAGGGATGAGCTTAGGAAGACCCTTGGATTGACAAGTGCGAACTTACATTGTTGGTGTTTTCCTTTTTAAGGTAATATGACGTATATGATGAATATTAAGTGGTTTAATTTACATAAGTGTGTAGCTTACACAAGTCAAGAATCACTCTTAAATTTGTCCCGGGCAAGTCCCAGAACACATTTCTGATTATGAAAATTCAAGCTGTTAAATGTGGTTTTAATAGTAGTCATACACTGTATTCTGTTGTCAGCATACAAATTAAAGAATATCCCTTAATAGAATGAGTCCTTTAAAAACTACATTTCTGTTGATGCAAAAAGTTTCTAACAATAATGTCATTCCATTGCCTTTTACCATATGGCTATTGTATGACATATGCGTGTCTGCGTGTTTTCACGTGCATATGAGCTTAGTACAATGGAATGAGGAGACTGGGGTCAGATAAATCTAGTTTCACAACCTAGCTGGGCCACTTTCCAGACTTGTGACTTTAGAAGAGTTTCTCTCTAAGCCTGACTTTTTCCATCCGTAACTCATATAGGATTATTTGGAAAACTGACTAATATATAATTTGGTCAGGATCTCTATATACCGTAGCAGGCAATTAATTAATATTGGTTCCCTTCCCCTCACAACCTTGTATAGATATATAAATTTATATAATGTGCATCTACACATAAAGCCTTATCTTTAAGACTCATTTTAATTCGTTAATTTTATCATGGAAAGCACACACCTCCTATTACCACTGATTTATTCTGGGTTAGTCCCAGTGACCATCAATTTAGTATGGACAAGAATCTACCTGGGGAACGTGTCAAAATGTAGATTCCCAGGTGGGGCAAGGGAATCTGCATTTTAAACAGCACTGTCATGGCTGGTGACGAAGATTAACAGTTGCCAACTTCTGTGAAGCAGAGGAAGAGATAAACCTGAGATTTGAGATGCTAGTTTCAAATCCTGTTTCTACCAGAGATATGTCTATGCTCAAAATTTTTATATCATTAATGTTAATGGATTATATGCATAATCAGATAAAAGCAAATACTTTCCAGAGAGTCAGGGAATGGTGGTATTATGGCACCCTCCTGCCCCGCATCATCTCATTGCTCTCTGCTGTGTGATCACAGTACTGGGTAACATACTGCCTGCAAACCAGTTTCTTTTCTGTGGAATAAGTGATGACACCTTGTCCCATGGCCAGAGTTTGCAAAACCACTGTAACTTGTTTGTTAGCAATATATATAGTGACAACACTACACAGTCATGCCATTAAATTATTCTACATGACTCTGTCTTCTGGTAAATAAACATCTCTGTCATTATATTATTTCCCTCAATCTCTGCATCTTAAAGTCACTTAATTTTTAGGCTAAAGTTCATATTCTTCATCTATCCCAACTCCATTTTATAGATGAAAAAATCATTTGGCTGAGCACAGTGGCTCATGCCTGTAATCCCAGCACTGTGGGAGGCCAAGGCTGATGAATGACCTGAGTTCAGGAGTTCGAGACCAGCCTGGCCAACGTGGCAAAACCCCGTCTCTACTAAAAATACAAAAATTAGCCGGGCATGGTGGCACACACCTGTAGCCCCAGCTACTGGGGAGGCTGAGGCAGGAGAATCACTTGAACCTGGGAGGCAGAGGTTGCAGTGAGCTGAGATCGCACCACTGCACTCCAGCCTGGGTGACAGAGCAACACTCCATCTCAAGAAAAAAAAAAGAGAGAGAGAAAAAGAATGTATCCTTTTTTTCTTCCTAGTTCTAGCTCCCCTCTTTGTTTATTCACAACAAAGGATTGAGGTATATAGACATGTTTGGTTTTTAACTTAGATATCGAAAGTATAAAACATTTGACATATATATTGAATTGCTCTTTATGTTCTCTATACATAATTTAGAAATAAGATGACTTAGTGGGAATATATTTATGAAAACTATATTGAGTCATTTTAAAAGATGTCAGCATCCTTTTGCTGGTTTGCCTCTTTGGAGGAGGATGCTGATGGCCTGGAGCCTTTCCTAGAAACAGAGTTTCTCTCTCTATACCCACAGCTCCAAGGAAAGAGGATGGAACTGACATTCATGGAGTTAGGTCTATACCTTGTATGCATTATCTCTGCCATCTTTTAGAACCTCAGACAACATGGTGTGGCAAGTGAAGCAAAAAGAAACTCAACAACTATAGCCAAGGTTGTAGAGATGAGAGGTTTTTTATTATTATTATTTTTTATTTTTTAAGATGGAGTTTCACTCTTGTTGCCCAGGCTGGAGTGCAGTGGCGCTGTCTCAGCTCACTGCAACCTTTGCCTCCCAGGTTCAAGTGATTCTCCTGTCTCAGCCTCCTAAGTAGTTGGCATTACAGGTGACTGCCACTATGCCCAGCTAATTTCTGTATTTTTAGTAGAGATGGGATTTCACCACGTTGGCCAGGCTGGTCTTGAACTCCTGACCTCAGGTGATCCACCAGCTTCAGCCTCCCAAAGTACTGAGATTACAGACGTGAGCCACTGTGCCCATCCTGAGATGAGATTTTTACACCCTGGGGTCTGTCTGACTCACAAGGCCAGCCTCTTCTCTCCACACTCTGGGCTGCCTCCCCAGCCACATAGTAAGAGTATGAAACCAGTGTTTGTTCCTGATTTTTTTTTTTTTTTTTTTTTTTTGAGACAGAGTCTCCGTCTGTCGCCCAGGCTGGAGTGCAATGGCGGGATCTCAGCTCACTGCAAGTTCCGCCTCCCGAGTTTACGCCATTCTCCTGCCTCAGTCTCCCAAGTAGCTGGGACTACAGGCACCCGCCACTTCGCCCGGCTAGTTTTTTGTATTTTTTTAGTAGAGACGGGGTTTCACAGTGTTAGCCAGGATGGTCTCGATCTCCTGACCTCATGAGCCACCCGTCTTGGCCTCCCAAAGTGCTGGGATTACAGGCTTGAGCCACCGCGCCCGGCCTGTTCGTGATTTTAACTGAGAGGCTCAGAGATCCTCATCCTTAATATTATTGTAACCTCAGACTTTTTGACAAGAAGCAAATGGAGCAGAGATAATGTGCAAATTTGAATTTGTTCAGCAAATATTTACTTAGTATCAACTACTCGCCAGGTAGGAGATCAGAACCCCAGCCTCATGGAGCCTCCCTATCTCCCTAACCTATCCTTATCTACTGTCTGTGCTGCTGCAAGCTTTTCTTTTAGAGTAAAATACCAATGGAGTTCCACACTGATAAGATCAATTAATTTGTGTCTTGCTATAGCTGTCACTGTCACTATGCTGGGCTAAATGTTCCCAGAGCCTGTACCAGTTGAAAGATTAAAACTGCTCCTTGGGGGATTGCCCTGAGGGCTAAGTAAATGTTTGTTGATTACCCTCTGAGGCCCTGAGGAACTCTACAGGGGGCTAGGAAAATTGCCCAGAGCTCCTGCAGGGCTGGGTTGGGGTGAGAAGAAAGACATCCGTGAGAATCCAGAGGGGATGCCTAGGAATTGTTCCCAGCATGACTTCGCTTGTTTGGTTTCCTCACCTGTAACCAGAGAAGGTTTCGCTCAATGATGGCTGTTTCCTCCGACTCTAAGGTGTAGTAGTTTATTTTCTTTCGAGCAGAAAAGCAGAGGTGCTGGGACAAGCAGGGGCAGGGACTCAGTCTGAGGTCTCCCAGGGGTCTCAATGTAGCAGCTCCCTCCTGTCCTCATAGATATGCCGATATTAGCCAGACTTTGGGTTCTGCCTTTACCTTCTACACTTTTGAGCAAAGTGCATGAATTTAAGGGTGGGAGATTGTCCACTTTTGAAGGAATGAAGACTCTTAAGAACAGAAGGATTGGGACTGGCTGGGAATCGTGGTTTTCAAATATAATGCTTATGGGGAACCTGGGAAATAAACTAGCCCAACCTCTTTGCATTCCAGATAAGGAAAGAAATGTCCAGAGAAGTCTTAGGACTTGCTCAAGGCCACATCATTAGTGGCAAAGTGGGAACAGAACCCACTGTCCTAGGCCCAGTCTGCCAGAAACAGGCAGGTT